TTTTATTGATTAGAATTTCAAAAAATTTCAATGGCAACAGCTATTGGATTTGCAATTATGGGGTTTATTGGGTTTTTCGTTAAACTTATACATATACCCATTAACAATATCATTGTGTAAGCTATTTATATATTTTAAAAGATATCAAATATTTTATAGTGGAACATGAAATTATTAAAACAATGACCATCGTGATTATGGATATTTAATATTACTTATAATTTTTTAATGTACAATAAATAAACATTTTATAATATCAAATTAATCATTATATCCTTATAATACTTATTTATAATATTTAAGATGCTTTTTATTTCTAAAAGATAATAAAGTCAAGAAATGTTGTTTATTAAAATTAATTAATATGTTATATGGAATATAGAAATGCTCTTAATAGAATTTTTAATCTTTAAAGATATGGGAACTAGCATATCTTTAGGAGGTTAGTTTTATAAGAATGCTAGATAATTAGACTTAAACCCAATTCTCTTTATTTTTTTTAATTAGAGAAATATTTATAAATTATATGATTTTCTTTAATTACTAAAAAAAATAACATTTTTGAACCTCTATACTATCATGTAAATATTTAGTACATTTATATGCAGATTAATCCTTAAAAAGTTTAAACTAAAATATGTTTTAGAATTGGGGACCTCATATATTTTATTTATTTTTTAAATGAGAATTTAAGGCACATGACTTCTAATAAACATTTAAATCCTATTGATTTTAAAAATCAATATTTCTAAAAAGCTAACCACTATCCTTACGCATTATAACAAAAATCTCCTCATTAAACTAAGGTGACTATATCTAAAATGAGATTTTTAAAAAATCATTCTTTTTATTAACCCTTCATAGCGCATGTGAAAAATAAATAACTTGAAAGTTGGAACCCCAATTTAGATTAACTATTTCTTAGAATTAAATTTTTTGTAGCTTTCATATTTTAAACATATATTAAATATACTCTAATAATTTCACTGTTATTTTAAAATTTTATAACATCTTTTGCCAAGTGAGTCATAAAAGTTGCAAATATTATAAAAATAAAATATAAAACTGATGTAAAATGTTTATCTAAGGTTATAAAATTGATGTTGAATGTTTATCTAAGGTTCAAATATTAATATAACATAATTTTTAATGAATAAAATTATGGTTATTTTTATTTATTTATGCTTAATATATCCATACAAGAGAAGATGGGAACAGATAACATTATAACTTATTAATTTTGAATTTTACCTAAAAATATTTTTTAAAAGATCCAGACAAAAATATAGAAAGGACTTTGAGTAATAACCATTTTTAAATAACTGGGGTCTGCATAATCCCATCTATTAAGGGTCAAAGTTTACGAATTTTGATATTTTTTTTCAAATTGTTCAGTAAAATTTTATCAGCCCTAGTAAATTTGGTTTCCAGTGAACGATTATTTTCTATAGCCAATAATCGATTACTAGGGGAATGAAGAACTTAACTAAAATATAAAAAATATTTGCATTTTTAAATAAATTTTGAGTTTATAAATCGACTTGATTAGTGGATTCTTAATGTACATAAAATATTAGAAATAAGGCAGATTATAATATTTTTATAATAATTCTTGATTTTTTTTTGGCCATGATAGAAATTTTCCTTCTTGGTTAGTTGTTAGGTTGGGCTAAAAAAAATTAAAAATCAAATATATTTTTTTTATGAACATGAGTGGGCGGGCCATGAATAGAAAATTAGGTCCGGACCCTATACCGATACTAACGTGTCAATCAATACTTATATAAAAAATAAACATATTTATTGGAAAATGATACAGCCTGATTTGATGCTCAAGCCTTGAAATTTGGTTCAAATATAATTTCGGAAATTAGAGATAAATTTTTGTCTTCGTTTCGTTTTTGTAAAAATAAAATTTTAGAAGTGTCATTATTATTTAAAATTATTTATTTTTAAAAATTATTTTATTTAATATTTATCAAATTTATAAATAGTCGCCTTATTTTATATATCACGTGTAGAACTCGTAATCTCTTTGTCCTAAAAAAATATAAAAGGGATTAGATTTTATAATTATTATGACTTTTTGTTTTTTTAAATATATTTAATCAATAAAATTTGGAGTTGAAAATTTATTAATCTTAGTTTTAGAACTGTGTTGGTTAATTGTTAGAGTTATAAAATGGCGTTGTACTACTGGTAGAGTTTTTTTATAGTATATAATTTTCACAATAACGGTTAGTTTTTTTTTATTGTGTATAATTATCATAAGAAGATTACCACAATTAAAAAATATATTTAGTGCAATTTCTAAAATCTAGTCTCTTAAAATTTATAAATTGTAATTGAGCAATTATTCTATTTATAAATAATATTTAACCGATTAACACAACTTATATTAGCCAAGAATTATTACCTCAGCCTTTTGAGTTATTTTTCAAAAATATATATCTCATTTTAATTTAACTCACATCTCAATTCTATGGATTTACTTTGGCGCAATACAATTATTCTAATAAATTATATATAGAAAAAATTTCACTTTAGTATAATATAAATAATAAATATATTTTTTTTAAAAAAAATTATAAAACTATCATTTTTAGTTATTTTCTATGTACACTGGAGTGGACTAAGATACTCCTATGGCACAAAGATATCGGGCAAATTATTACAATTTTAATAATTTTTTAATTGTAGAGGAGGAATTTTTCTAAAATTAATTATCTCAAGGTAAAAAATATAACATATTTGAAATGATAGTTAAAAAATGTCCTAGATATGTTCATATTAGAGTGTAACAATGACCGAATTTTAACCATGCTTAATACCAGAGTTGTTAAAGGATCTAGATACTTGTATCTAGATCCTAGATTTATTTTTGATTAAATAATCTGTATCTATATATTATTTTAGACGTTGTATCTGTATCTAGATCCATTTAAAAAGTATCTTTTAACAACTCTGCTTAATACATACATCAAAAAACCTTGCAAAGGTCAAAAAATTTTAGGTCGATGTGGATTTGAAAAAAAAATATTCATTAATATTATTTTACCTCTAATTTCAAATGCTTGCGATATAAAATTTTTTAGAGAGCTGCAAGTCGGGAACGGGTAGAAAATCTGTATATTAAAAAAGGGCAAGGGGTTAAAAAATTTTTAAAAAAAATATAATCCATGTCGGGCTCAAGAATTTAAAAAAAAAACTGGGTTAAACCGTAAAAATTTAAATTAACAATTAATAACTTGGGAAATGTTTAAAAATCGTAGAATATAGCGTTTGCTATTAATACATTGCTAATATTTTGAATTTCCCCTTAAAATAGTTTGCAAAATACAGCCTAAATTATTCAAAATAACGAAATACCTGGGCTTGGTATAAAATTAAGACCTCTACAAGTCTTTGATTTATTTAATTTGTTAAAATCCCCGGAAATTATATCATCCAAATGAATTCTCTCAGAATATAAATCTCAGGAAATAAAATCCCTTAAAAATAATTCTCAAGGAAAAATTTGAGATTAACAAATATAAACTAAGCGAATTATTCGGTATGATTATTAGTGTTTATTAAAATAAATTAATTATCTATCATTTCTATTGATGACCTATTAATCTGGATGTGATTAATAAAGATATGTGTCAACTGCTTGTAAACGGCTTTTCTTAGTTGGAACTAATTTGCTGTCAAAGAATTACATCTCTTATAAAGAAAAACTCTCCTTTAAAAATGATTATGCCATTATAGCATTTCAATTCGTTAATTTTAATCACATGTTATCTTTTTTTTAAAAAAACTAATAAATTGAGTTCACTTAAACGAATAATGTACTATTCGATTCGTACTTAAATAAGTTTGTAGAATGAAGCTTGTCAGGTAATTTAATATACAACAGATATGGTTAAGGATTAATTTATATAAATCGTTTTTCTAAATTTTACCAACAGTAGAAAAGAGGATATGGCTAAGCAGATAATTTAGGGTTAACTGTCACTATATAAGGTTAGTTTATAAAATTTAAAAATCTTTTTTAATTGTCTATAATTTTATTTGAGGAACTTTTTTCTTCAAATTTTATTTTTTCCGAGATTTTAATCATAATTTTTTGGATCTATAATAAGCCAGGGATTCATTTTCCTTGAATCACTTTTTCGAGAAGACTTAGCTATAACTTATGTCAAATTTAAAAGAAAATCTACTTCCAACTCTAGTTCCAATCTTGAACTTAATTTGTCTAAAAATTAAATCATTATAGAATAAATAATAATCAAATTGGCCCACGTTCCACCTTGTTTTAAGGCTAAATATAACTGGTAAGCGGAAAATAATTCCCCGGAAAAAAAAATCCCCAATAATAATTGAATTGATTTTCTCAAAATTTTTAAATATTTTATTTGAGGATTTTTATTTCGTGTATATATTTATAGGATTATTTCTCCTATTTTATTAATTTTGTAATTTTTAATATCTTAAAAAATGGGGATTTTTTTCCCGGGGAATTATTTTCCTAGATTCAATATAACTGAACAACTTTCATTCGTCTCTACTAAATTCGAAGTGAATCGAATATTAGATGTTCTTAAATAGTTAGCAGTTTGAATTTATAAATGGATAACTAAATCCACATTGGTAAATTCTTTTCACCTAATATTTTTATTATTAATTAAATCCTAGCCTAACTAGCACATAGATAAACGCTAGCAGTGCATATATTCCATCGAATTATCTTTTCCAGAAATGATACCACGTTTTTTTCGGTATAAGTTTAACGTTTTTAACTAAAATTAAGTTAAATAAATATATAAGGAAAACTAATATATAATACAATAAATAATTTAGACAATTATTTTAATTAAATAAATCACTATAAAAAATTATATAATAGATAATATCAATATATAGTAGCAATTCATAAAAACTTGATAGGTTTACAAATAAATAATAAATTATTTTTTTCTCCGCAATGCAAAGTTATAATAAATATTTATTTTAATTAAATAAATTTTTGGAGTTATAATAATAAATTTTATGATATTCCATATAAAAGGGCTGCTCTTGATAAAAAAAAATATTCATGATTTGATTTTAAATAATTTAAATCAAACAATATTCATTGTCCTTTATAAATATGAGGCTGTGAAAAATACTGAAAAAGTTTATTATAAAAAACACCAAATAACATCACGATATTTATAATATAGAATGAATATTTTTTTATTTTCTAATGGAAATGGAAAACTGGAATTTTTATAAATTAAGTAAATGGCCATATTAATAAAATTATATAGAACCTTAAATTTGCTCTTATGATATACATAGCAGTATATAAAAATATTTTTTCTCTATCATTTTTCGTTAAATTTGTGGTATTTTGTATTTGTTGTTGTATTCTGGGCGATAGCTTTCAATTCCCTCCTTAAAACTTTCCCGCTGGCGGATTTTGGTATTTGATCTATAAAATGAATACCACCTCTCAGCCATTTGTGAGCACTTAGCTATTGTTTAATAGTTATAAGATTAAAATAAAATATGTAGCAAAACAATATTGTCTTCTCCTCTAAAATACAAATTTGTTTATTAATATCACTATTCTCCTCTAAAATAAAAATTTGCATTAAAAAATATTACATCTACAATATATATAAATTTTCTTTCTTTCTTACATAATTTTTTTTTCATTTTTGAAGACGCCTTAGAATAATTATTTAAAGTTTTAAAATGGTTATTTTATATATAGCAATGATTTATTATATTTTTTTTATACCTTGCCATTTATGAGTTCATTTATCATCTTAGCTGTCACGACTTTTTTGGCGACGATAAAAGCAGTAGGTAGTTCCCCAACATTTTCATCCGGCATCCCTATGACTGCAGCATCGATTATATCTGGGTGTGCGATTAAAATGGATTCGATTTCAGCTGGTGCGACCTTATAGATTTAAATATTGAGTGTTTTGATTTGAGATTTTAAAAAAAATTATGAGATAAGAGAACAAAATCAAAATTTTTGGGTCCAAGTCAACTGGCAGCCCAAAGGGAATTTTTTTTAATTAAGGTCCGCTGGGAGCAGAATTTTTTTAAAAGCTTAGAGGTGGAAAATTTAAAACTCAAAATATTTATTTTATACTCTATTGTTATGCATTAAATTTAATTATTCAGAAATAACTTTGAAGCCCCTGATAAATAGCTGAAAATAAGAAAAAGTAAAATGCTAAAAAGAAAATAATAAACACCCCGAATAAATAACCACTCCTCAGAAATTATCATTTTTTTAATTTTTAGAACAATAAAATTAATTTTTAAGTGATTGGGTAGCTTTATTTTTTCAATTTATTTCTGTTGTTTTGTTTAAAAAAAATTTTTCTATCCGCACAACCAATTGAAAAGGTATAATATATGCTTAAATTTTAATTTAAAGTTGGGTCAGGAATTATTAACAGTAATATAAAGGAATCATCTTCATTATTAATTTGATGTTAACTTGAAATCCTTTGTATTTTATTAATTCTTTCATTCGATCAGTCAAGAAAAAATAGCCATCATTATTGTAATATGCTACGTCTCCTATATATAAAAAAAATTAAATAATATTTAACTTTACTAAATAAAATAATGATTTTAAATAACCTGTGTGTAGCCACCCATCGACGATCATTTCTTTCGTAGCTTCTGGGTTATTCAAGTAACCCAACATCACTTGTGGTCCCTTAATGCAGAGCTCTCCTTTATTATTCGGGGAAAGAGTTTCTTTAGTGTCAATATCGACTATCTAAATAACGATTTGATTTAGGGTATATCGACTATATTTAGTGTCGGGTCTGAACCCATCATTATATTAATTTTTAAAAGTATCGCGTCCAATATTTTTTAATTGCCGCCTATATATCAAGATGACCAATAAAAACTTATTTAAAATTTTAAAAAAAGATGAAAAGATTTTAAAAAGAATTTTATATTACGATAAAAGTGGATATCAACTTGATATAGCCTCTAAAAATAGAATATGTATATTTTTAAATCAATATCTACAGTTTAAAAAAAATTCATACTTTACAAAGGGTGTTAGGAATAGTTAAGCCTATAGATTCGGTATAGTCACTATCAATAGGCATGCAATGCGATACGGGGCTCATTTCGGTCATACCGTAACCTTAGGGAAGAGAAAATTTAAATGTTTTAAAAATATATAAGTTGTTTAAAATATTAGTTCAATTATGGTTAAATATAATAAGTCTATTTTTTCTTTCTTAAGCTGCCAGGGAACGGAAAAAAATTTCTGGATGCCAAAATGCCTAAATTTAATTCTCTATTCGAGCAAAGCTAAATTGACAATTGACTTTTTAACAAGCTTGGATTATAAGAGTTAAAGATGCCAAAGTTTTCATACAATAATAGTTTGTTTTTTTTAAAAAAAAATTAATAATTTAAATCTTAAGAACCTTGGGAAATATGTACGTTCTGCTTAAAAACCTTTTTTAAATTTTTAGCTTGAGATAGTGGTAGGCGAGATGCTCCGTTGAAAATATGAATAACATTTGAAAGATCGAATTTATTCAGATATCGATAATTGATCAAAAATTGGGCCACTGTAGGTACAATGAACAAAAATGATACCTTATTTAAGATTTATAATTATTATTTTTTTAAAAGAAAAAAAAGAATTAGACAAATAGGTAGATAGATAAATAATGGCAAAAAATATGGTGGATTACCAAAATAGACACCTGATTTATCATTCATTCAATAATTAAACTAGCAACGTTGAGAAATGTTAATTTAAATTCCACCCACTCCCCCTCCCCTTAAATATGCGCATATAATCACGTGTCCACCATATTGGTAATTAAAACAAAAAAAATTAGATGCACCGCTACCACTTATTTTTTAGGCAATACAAGTATGGATACTGTCATATATCTGTATTATATGAAGTCAATGGTTAGAAAAAGAGAAATCATCAATCCTTTTTGTTTGGACTTTGAATACGCATTTTTTATTTAAAAAATATATATATTATTGTTGGAAGAAGTTTATAAATAATAGAAACAAAAAAAACGAAATATATATTGTTTTTCACTTTATATTTCTCTAAGCCATTCAAATAAACGCTCGGTTCCAGTGTTGAAAAAGTGACAACGGTATTACCCATGGATAATGTATTCAGGAGATTTACAGTGAAGCCGTATATATGGAAAAAGGGCAACAGACCACTCACAACTCTGTAAATGGTTTGATCGATGACGCACCTGGGGGAACAAAAATATGATATATTTTTAAAATGATCGGGAGTATAGCTATGACTTGGAGTAGAGATATGCAAATCACAGCCCGGCTCGTACCCGCTTCGGATCTATTTTAAAAGGTAATTTTGGTTAGGGTTGGGTCGGGCCCAATATTAAAAAAATCGGGCAAGACCTGCTGGGGCTTAAATTTTTTAAAAAGATGTCATTTAATTTTGTGAAACAAATTGATATTTTTAGTTCTTGCAAGAAACAAGGGGCTAATATTTTTTATTTGTAGAATATCTTTTATAAAATAAAAATTCTATATTAAAATGAATTCGGGCCGGGCCCACTAATTTTTATTTTGGTCAGGCTTTTCGGGACAAATAAAAAAAATTTACGGATTCGGCGGGCAGGTAAATAAAATATTTTTCAATTTTATGGTTTAAAAAAAAAAGAAGAGGTTAGCAAATTTATACTGTGATTGTAGGATATTGGCCACCACATTAGAGTTAGTAAGCATGACACCCTTTGGCTTCCCTGTTGTACCGCTGGAAAATGGTATAACTGCCACTTTCTGTGTTGGGATATTGGTTTTGAACGTGCTCAAATTTTCGCGGCATAAATCAGAGACGGTAAATATCTTGGGTAAAATATCAAAAACGGTTTCGTTTTTAACGGGGTAACTTTTGGTGATTTTGATCGGATCAAGTAAAGTCTTGAACGATTGTGTCAACGGCTCCATGCAAAATAAATGGTTCTGTTTTTTTATTAATAAAAAATTTTACATCGTAAATCAATTTTTATATTAAATAAAAAAATCTAATACTTTCATGACCTCTTTTTTCATTATTTGCCATTAGGTACCATAGATTCTGACTTAACCCTTCATAGAACAGGTGAAAAAATTACAGGAAAGACTAAATGAGTTCCTTGAACCCAATTTATACATTCTATATATTCGAATCAAATATAATTATAATATATATAAACTCTAATTAGTGATTTAATTGTTATTTAAAGATTTTATAGATATTTTATAATTTTATGAAAGTTTTTGACAAGAGTCAAAAAACTGAGAAATTATTTTAAAATGCCAAAATATGATATAAAAATATTAATTAATTAAATAAAATTGTTATGCAGAATTTTTATCTAAGGTAAATTATTAATAAATATGATTTTTAATTAATAAAAATGATATATAAAAAGTGTTTATTTAGTATATCAACGCCAAAACATATGAATGATAAAGTTACACGTACGACTAGGCGGGGCTATGGGGACCTTAAACTTCAAAATACCGTTATAACTTATTCAAAATTAATTTTTGCGCATATATACTTTGCCTAAAAATACTAAACTCTAAAAGATACAGAAAAAAATATCGAAAGAAATTTAAGTATCAACTTTTTATAATCGACTAAAATCTGCATAGTACCCTGTGCTATGTAGGGTTAATTAATTCTTTAAACGGCGTAATTGCATTCTTATACCCACGTGACCATTAGGAGTTAATTTTTTAAAGCAGTTATAAAATTTGTCAATAAAATTCTTTCGAGGACGTTGTCTCAAGAATGTATATTAATCGAAATATAAAATTAAAGAGTGTTTTAACAAAATATAACTCTTTTTTTCAAAATTTATATATCCATTACTGTACCTTCCAAAATTAAAAATTGTACTTGATAATTAGCCCATAGGGTTTAAATTTTTAATAATTTTTATGAGACATTCATTACAATTTATAAGTAAATACATATTATATAAAAAGTTCAACGATTACATAAAAAAAAATTTATATAGATAACCAAAAATTATATCATCATTTAATTTTCTTTGTAATTATGGTTATATTATAAAAGAAAAGCTTTCGCCCTAGGTGATTCAAATGGCAAAGTCACTCTAAAAATATATGATGGATTTATTAAACATACTTGTTTGAATGACGGGACTTGGTTTAAGGCATCGCGCACGGTATGTAATAAGCTGTATTGAGCAAAGATAGTTTGACTTTTTGTCTCGTTTAAATAATACTCGATTTCGTCCTTGGTAGATAGGGGGCTTATCAAAGCTATAGTAACTCCTAATTTATTGAGCGCGAGAAAAACGGGTAAAAAATCTGGCGTGTTTTGGGCTATAATGGCTGCTCTATGGCCGAGGGAAATGTTTCTCAGAGATAGGGATCCGGCAATACGCTTGCTCTTTTCCAGCAAATCTTTGAAACTCAAGGATTTGTGGGTTAAAGAATCAACCTAAAATACAGATATAAAAAATAATAAACGGAAAAAATCATAAACCTGGAAAGCCACTTAACTAAAACCGGAAACACTTTTTTTAAAATACTAAGAACCGGAAGGAACCATTTTCAGTTCCAGATTCCAAAATATATGTATAATAGATAAATCGTGTAAGATTTTTTTATATAAAAAATGTTACCAGAGCTTTTCTGTCTCCATATTTTTCGAAAGCTTGAAACATAAAATCCGAAATCTTGGTGGAAGGGTGCGGTAAATCGATATCCGGCCATGGACTGCTCACTATATAATCGGATAAATTTTGTTGTTGCCTGACATAAGTATTGGGGAAAAAAATGGTATTTAACAATAACGTTGTAAACGGTTTCGTTTTTGGGAATTTATAAAATATCATGTTGTTTATTTTAATTTTTTTAATTCTAGAAAATATTTAAAATCGATGTTTATTTTAAAAAATTAAAGTTCAGAAAATAAATCGCGCCCTCTATCGTTATCCCATTTATTATTTGCACTGTAAAAAAAGACGCCATTTTAATCGTTTACAAAAAAAATGGTGACAAATTTATATTATGCAAAAAAATTTAAAAAATGCCTAGGAAACAGCTTTGAAAAAAAACGAATTGTTTGGACATGTCCCATGAGTTTTTTTTTAAATATTTTGTTAAAAAAAATAAATATTCATATTTTCAATAAAAATTATATTTTTTTGTTCGTGAATTATTTATTTTAATTTATTCATCTTTTCTTCCCCTTCTTTTTTTTTCTTTTATGTTTACAAAAAGTTCATAAATCAACAAAGGAAAATGCTAATCGGAATAAAAAAACCCGACTGGATTAAACCCGTTATAATATCCGAAACCGTACACGAGTTCGGCAAATTTTTGAAACAACGAATCATAATGTTTTTGAAGCGGTTAGCCCGTTTTTTACTTAAAAAATATCTTGATTTATGACCATTCTTTGAAAATTGGCACGAAGCATCTGTAAAATAAAAACTCCGAAATTAAAGCTTAATGTAATGAATTTTTGTAGGCAGAGTATCTGATTGATTTTACGTAAACTAGGTCTAAAGTTAAGGTCTGTGATTTAGTGTTAAATTAATATTCATTAATAAAATTTTCCGGGGATTTTTTTTATCAAGGAAATATTTTTAAAACATAGTCAAACAGGTATTAAAATATAGTATTAATTAACATTATTATCATTCACGCTTTAGGGCAGATTTCTAACGGACAAAATAATAAGAAATTATGTAAATATGAATACTTCCTACTTTAGGAAAAGAAAGTGGAAATTATGGAAATCAGTTCTATATATTTTTTTAATGGAGTTAAATTCTCTAAAATTATTTTTAAAAAAAGAAAGAATCCTTTTAATAATCCATTTATAGATTTTAAACATGTGTATAACACTTTGCCAATAAATCGCTCGAAAACTACCACGTAACCATTAATTACTTTAAATAATTGAATTAAATTAAAATAAAATATTTTGGTTTTTTTTAAATGTCGAATTGATAGGACTATCCGAGGCTCTGCCCCGTGTTTGGGCGAAAATTATTTTTAGGCTCGACCCGGATTCGTAAAAAAAATTTTAAGCCCGTTTAAGACCGAGTCTGCAGGTCTCTGAGATAGTTGTTAAATTTATTTTAAATATGATTCCAATAAAATAAAATGAAGTTAGTGTCTATGACATCGCAAAAAGTGAGTTAATTAAACATAGATTTATATTTGATTTTGAGCGAGCCTGAAATATTTACATAAAATAAAACATTTCATTTTCTAAAAAACTATCATTTCATTTATGTTAAACCACTTGCAACCCTTTATAAGTGCACAATATACATACCGTATCGTCTATGTGTTATTTTCAATTTTAATCATTTTTTTTTAATTTTTAAAAATCTGATTTTACCGGAAACGTATTCCAGCTGGTTTAGAATACCTATCCTGTCAAATTTCAGACAATTCTTCACTTACCTTTTGGGTCATTTATAATTTTTATAAAAAAAATATATGGAAAAACTAATAATAAATTTTTATGAAGTCCAAAAGTTCGTGAAAAAAAATTTCTAAAAATTACAAAGTAGAGATTAATTCAACAAGGTATTAATGTGGAGTAGTTTTTAGACTTTGGTCATATATTGGTATGGACGATTGCGTGATTCAGAGCGGATATTATCCCCAGGATATACCAGCACTGCTCATTGGCAGCTGATCTAAATATGTTGGATGGAGGTCGGAAAATTGTTTTTTTTTCTCGTTTAAAATATAGAAAAAAACATGTTTTATTTAACCCCGAAGAAACGAATTGAGAACAGGCAATTATAACATAATCATTATTTTTAAAAAATTATTAAAAAATAACCAAATTCTAAAAATAATCATTGAACAAGGAAATTTTAAATCAAACAAAAAGTTAATTTATTTTGAGCCTGACCTTAAAAAAACTGATACAAAATATTTTTATATATTCGAAATTCGCTTCTTCGTCCTTGGCCAAATATGATATTAAATGAGGTTAAGTTAGCTCCTTCAAAAATTAAAAACTATCAATTTTTTCTTTCTTCCTTAAAGAATTTCAAGGTTTCCTCATAAATCCTTAATCTTGATTTATCACCTTGTTCCTATTTCCTTTTTTAGGGCAAAACTGTTATAAAAGAAATTAATAATTCCCAAGGTCGATTTACATATCTCATTCTAGAGTTGTTAAACGCCTAGATTTATTAAAAACGGCTAACCCAATACTTTCGCCAAAAAGTATTAGACAAACCTGGAGATTTCGCATAGATGGGAGAAAGATTTGGACATTAATTAACGCGTAATATAATTTTTTAATAAAACCTTAATTTAACATAGGCCAAATCGAGCCGTTTAATAACACTATCTGTTGGGTATATTAAAAAACCTGATTGGGGTCGATTTTTAAAAACGACCCGATTAAGATTTTAGCCAATATAATGTTATGCAAGCCTGGAGATTTGTCTCATAGATGATGACAGAAATATGTGGACCTCTATTTACCAAATCTCGAGGTTTACATAGTATTATTTGCTAAAATCTTAATCGGGTCATTATTAAAAATAGTTCCGAATCGGGCTTTGTAACAACCCTAACTCAGACCTAACCCCAGTCAAGGAATGGTATGATTTTTAAAAAAAATTAAAAATCCAATTCAAATTAGTCAGCTGGAAAATCACTAAAGCCTTTAACTCTAATAACCATTCATTTAGTACTCAAAATTTCAATTTGTAACAATTTCCAAAACTATTGAATATAATTTTTAAATAATTCCGGGCCGAGCCATAAAAATGGTAAAGGTTATGGTTTGTAAGTCATAATTATATTGGTTATCTTTTATTATCATAAGATTGGTTTGATTTATTTTTTTGTTAAATGATATTTCATTTCTATTATCTAAATAAAACCATTGGTTGTTATTGTTATTTTTTTCACATATTTTTTTATTGTAATATTTTTATAGAAAATTATTTAGCCATTTTTTGTAAAATGATAAATAAAAATGAGATAGGATAAAATTTAAATAAAGGGAACGAAAAATTAGGTTAATTTTTTTTAATAGATCATAAAGATCCTGCAGATTTGTAATTTAGATAACTTTTCCAATTGTTTTTCTTATTTAGATTGCATACTTTTATGAATTATAAATTTTTTTTAGCAGATAATTCTTTCTCAATGGTCACTTATATCATTATTTATGGGTTTTTTTTTAAAAATTACTTATTATCTGAGCAAACAATTAAATACTTAACTCTATATTTAAAATATTAATTTTTCACATTTAAAATAAAAATAAAAATGTTCTACAAAATATAAACTCCGTATATTTATAATTGAATAATATCTTCTAATACATTTTAAAAGATATTCAATAGATTTATATTTTCTCTCTTCTATATATGTTGCCATGTAATATTCCATAAACTGGGACCTTCCAGATTTAACATATTTTGTTTTGAGGTAGCGCCAAAGACGCTCTATGGACTGGGTATTTATCCTTCTATTAACCGGGTTCAGAAAAACGATTGAAAAAAAATTAACAATATTAAAATTTAAATAATTCATTTTTAAAAAAAATATATGTAAAAATAAACAACCAATGGTTTTCGATAATGAAAATTAACAACCAATGGTTTTCGATAATAAAAATATCATTCAACGAAAAAATAAATAAATAAAATTCAACCAATAATATGACAGATAAATAAATAAACACTCACAAATCATAACCTTACCGAAAAATGATCAAAAATCCTAACATGGCTAAAAGAATAGCTTGAAAATAATTTTTCTTATATATAATCTGTGCTGAAAATTGTAAATGTATTCTAGCTAACAAAAAAAGAAAAAAGGGAAGATCAATCTCATAGTTTATTTTTAAAAGTTTCGATCATTTTAGTAGTTTTTTTAAAAAAATAAGAAGAGAATGGTATGGAAGATGAAAAAGCTTAGCTATCTGTAGAAATTGAGCAATATATTTTTAATAATAAGAAATTTTTAGGTATAGATTATATGACACGTTAATAAAATCAGTTGACAATATCAGTCACAAATTTAGGCAAAACTTCAATCGTCGGAGAGTGCAAGCAATTAAATAAGCAACCAATATACCTTGACCATATCCTAATCTCGTTCAAAGAGTTTATTTCAAAATAAATAAAAAATTTCAAATTTATTACTATTTAAATAAGAGTACTTTTGCAACATTACACCGAGTTCTAAAATTTCGACCTTTGCTGGTCCTGATATATATTCTATAAAGCCGATGACAACCTATTCATAGTGACGGCCGTCCTCTCTTGACTTCTTTAAGTTGGTGTCCTCTGACATAAAATCCTACTCAAAATGTATATTTTGTTTAAAATATTATATTGGCTTAGTTAATTTATGAGGGTAGGGTAGGGCAGCCAAATTACAAGATATTTTTTAAAAAAAATAGATATTTGATAATAAGCTCATTTAAATGGTGATATCAAATTACAAACTATATTTCAAAAAAAATAGACTTAATTTTATTTGTTTATATTTAAAAACTATTAAAACACATGGCGGTAAATAGAAAGAAATTAAATTATCTAAAATAAAAAATCTAAAAAGTATGCCATCACTTATATTTCAAGCCTTAAAAATGACTTTAAAAAAGGTAGAAATTGGGTTATTAATTTTATTTTTTCCCTTGTAAATTCGAATATAGCATTATTTAATTTCTCCTTATATTTTCGTTTTCACCTGCTTGTACCTTGTAAGGTATCTTAATATAATGTTTTTTGTATTATAATAATATTAATAAATATATATATAATATTATTTCGATCTTCGATTTGAGTATAGTCTAGTAAAATATTAGAATTGATTTTAATATAAAGAATAAAAATCTCTGGAAGTAAATTCCTCCTAATAAGGGGCCGAGGCAGGTTTACCGCGAGTAGAGCTAATGAAATAGATATCGGATATGAGGAATGCTAAAATGCATGAAGTTTCCGGGCAGCAAGATATTTTGCAAGAGTCATTCTAATTTTCAAGAGATTATTATCTCTATTTAAAAAAATAATTGCTTCATTAAGAGATGTGAGAATCTATAGTATCTATTTAATTACGTTAGAAAAGATGACAGTGAACATGCTGAAGTAATAGAGCCATCAATGCATCTAAAAGCGGTTCCCGAAATTTCAGGGGTAATAAAATTTAGAGAAAAATATGGCTGACACCTCCGAGGCTTCCAATTAGAGATCTACAAAGTTAGGCCCGGCCCGTACCCAGCCCGAATGGGCTTCGGGCCGAACTCGGGCATAATTCTATTTTAAATAATCGGGTTCGGGCCGGGCCTAAAATTTTTAAAAAAATTTCGGGCCGGGTCGGGTCTGACCTTGGAAATTTTATTAAATATATCTAAATTTATCAATTTTATATTGAATTTTTTATGTAAAATAAAAATTTTTGATTAAATTTTTTGGAACTAAACACTAACATATGTCTTTTATTTTAAGTAATTATAAAAATTAATTTCCATATTTAAATAAATTCGGGCCTGGCCGGGCCGGTAAATTGTTTTAAAATAAATTTCGGGTTCGGGCCGGCAATACTTTTTAAAAAAATTTTAGGTTCGGGCCGGACCGGCAAAACTTTTTTGAAAAAAATTTCGGGCCGGGCCGGGCTTGTAAAATTAGGCCCGATGCAGATCACTACTTCCAAAATTCTTGATTTGGCCCTTATCTCACGTGTACGATTTCATTTATATTACAAAATCCTTTAAGGCGAGCACTTCTATCACGGGGAGAAGAGGGTATGTTACAAGATGGCCATAAAAAATGAATGTGGTAAGGAAAGGAAAAGAATTGGAAAGAGGGGGGGGGGGTAGGCAGGGGCGAACTTTACTCAAAAAAATATGAATCGAATAAATACGTTGCTTTTTTATTCATTTAAAACATAATATATTATAAATATTTACTAGTCTTAGCGAACGCGGCTAAGTCAATATAAATTTGAAGGGATAAGGAAAACGAGTTAAGTAAAATATATTTACTTTTAATGAACAGCTGGGCTCCATTTTTTCTCCTATTCGTAAAAAAATCAAAGTTCGGAACCGGAAATATGAATCGGAACCCTCTGTTAGCCTTTTATAGGAATCGGAATCTAAAAAATTTCAGGAACCAGTTTCGAAACCAACAAAAACGAGTAATTTTTTCGAATAAATGTTATGGAGTTCTACATGGACATTCCAAAAAGAGCCAAACTTAAAAACATGAAACAGAATACAGTTTTAAAAAAAATATTCATAAATAGAACCATTTTTATCCCAGGTGCTGAATTCCGCCGTCTGTTACGCCATTGATCAGATGGTTAGGTCATAAAAGAAGAATGATATATTTTTCATTTATTCCCAGATTATTTTATATTATTAACCCCAAACGACCCAATATAAATATTCTAATTTTTAAAATATTATACATGTTAGCGTCAATGTGTTTTTTCCAGCAATGTGTTATTTTTTCAACCTTAAATCAATTTTTGAAGCTTTTTTTTAATTTAAAAATCTGATTTTATACCGGAAATGTGTGCCGTCATATTTGGAAACTTGCCCTATGAATTTCAGACAATTTTTCCATGAACTTTTAAACTTAATATAATTTATATTAAATTTTTCATATATTTTTTATATAAATTATAAATGACTCAAAAGTTAACAGCAAAATTGTCTATAATTCATAAGATATGTATTCCAAACATGATAGAAAATATTTCCGGTAAAATCAGATTTTTAAATTTAAAAAAACGCGCTTAAAAAATGATTTAAAATTGTAAAAACGGAAAAAAACACATTGAAGCTAACATGCACAAATTGAAAGTAGCCTTCTGAAATAAATTATTCATTCAAATTGTAAAATTATTTCTTTTTTTTTGAATTCGTGCCAAATAATTTTTTATGTATTTTTTTTTACCAAAAAAGTATTTAATTATTTATTACATCATCTTCCTTCCACCAAAGATAGCCTTGGAATATAAATCGATGACCACATTATATACATGTATACAAAATAGTTTCAAGGAAAATAGAAAGAAACAAACAAAGAAGGAAAGAAAGACCGCAACTAGTTAAATTGCATAATAAATCTTTCGCAAGTCAGGGGACAACGTAGAAATATTATCCGTTTTTTTTATAAAAGAATAAAATATTTTTATCTAAATTTAAAATCATAATGATATAGCATATTGATGCACATTGATGTTACGAAGAGCTCTTCCGTTAAACCTTTGTTTTACTAAGTAACGATAACTGCAATCGTCGGGTAACTTATCCGTTACATATTTCCCTTAAAATAAGGGTAACAATGAGATTTATTTTTTTTTTGAGTAACCATGCATCACGATTCAGGCTTCTAATTCATATTTTAAAATGGTAATAGTTAAATGAGAATTATTTGCCTTAATCTTGGCAAGAGGATTAAAGACCTCCAAAAATTGTTTTTATGGAAGCTCTTATCGATTTATTTCAAATTAAATTAGTCCTCCAAATATTTTCACAAAATATCCAAATCCCTCCCATTTGTAATTTAATATTTAATATTATGAACTAAGATTTTGGATTTAACATAGTTTATTTTTTGTTACAAATTTTGGATTTCGATTTTGTTATAAACTAGTTTTAAATATTTTTTAAAGTTTTACGTAAATTATTTTATAACCTTAATTTTGTGTTGTAAATAATTTTAAAATAACATTTATTTTTTAAAATTATTATTCTTGGAAAATGAAAAAGGTTATCTATGTTTAAAGAAAAAATGAGATCAAAAAAATAATATAATTCAATTATTTAAGCAGGATGTTGTTAAACGGCCCTGGGTCATTTTTTAAAAAGTCCTGATATCGACTTTAGCCAAACTAATATTATGTAATCTTGGAGATTATGGTCATAGATGGCAATTGGACCTCTATTTGCCAAATCTCAAGGCTTGCATAATATTATTATTGGATAAAATCTTAATCGGGCCATTTTTAAGCTGTTTACTTAATAAGATTTGAGCCGATTTTTAAAAACGTTTAACCCTTTTTAGTAAAATAATATTGTGCAAGCCTCCATATTGCGCACATAGGTGGCACCAATGTTTGGACATCTATTAGCGAAACCTCGAGGCTTAGACAATATTTTTCTGGCTAAAATATTGAGTTAGCCGATCAGCACTAAAAGAAGAAAAAAATGAAATATATATAATTAGCTTACCTTTGAAAATATACATTCTTGCCGCATTCAGCAATATTGCTGGTCGTATTAGTGGATCTTAGAGAATCGATAAGGCCTTCAATGAGATCAGAAAATTTCTCTCTTAAATTCCTGGGACTCAGATATTTCAATAATATCATTTTTATTTTATGATAAAATTAAACATGAAAAAAAAGCAACAATTCTTTATAATTTGGAAATTTCAGTTAGAGAAATAATAATTGTAAAGGTAATAAAATAAATTTAAAATTTATTTTAATTTATTACATTTTTTTTATTGATTGTTGAAAGAAAATAATATTAAAAAGGTTTATATTTTAAAAAAAAATATTGAATTTTAAATTTAAATAAATAAATATTTACTTTTATATCGATTTTAAATAAAAAAATTAATTTTAAATTAACTATTTTTTATAAAACTATGAAATTTAAATAAATAAAAGAAGGTGTGTCATTGAATGCGCCCTGTCCTTCTTTAAAATCAAAATCAACAAAATTATTTTATGAAAACCATTGTTAATTTTTATTCACATTTTTTAAACATTAATAAAAAAAAAATATAGTTTAATGCCAAGTTTATTTATTTTACATTTTTTAATAAATAAATAAATAATAATAAATAAAATATTATTTATATTTATTTTATTAACTTGAATTATTAATGTAATATATTATTTTCGATAATAAAGAATTTTTGTGAATCTTTAGTCGAAATCAATGATTACTCGCGCGAAAAAAAAACGTAAAAAGATAAATTATTTTTATATAAATTAAATAAATAATTGGTGAATAAAAAAAAATGTAGAAATTATATTTTTTACCCCGTTTTTAAATATGCAAGTATATTTAAGTTTTACTTAGAAATTATGGACTGGTTAATAAATTATTAAACGCTTAGATTTAAGCCGATTTTTAAGAATAGCTAACTCAATATTTGAGTCACAAAAATATTGACTAACCCTCGATATCTCGATAATAGTCCAAACCTTTGAGCCATCTACGAGCAAAATTTTCAGGCTTGCGTGTTATTCTTTTTTTTTTAATTAGCAACATTACTGGCTATATCTAATATGCGTTGCCATCTATTTTCTATAGGGGGGAGGGTAATTTTTTAAAGTTAAAATAATTTTTTGGAACATATTTATCAGATGATTTCGCTTTATAAAGAGCATCTAAATTGAGATTTTGGACAACACTGATAAATATTCTGATAAAAGAGTAAGAACTAAGGATTATTACCAAAATAATAATATGCAAGCCCCGATATTTCGCATAGACACGTCAAAACATTTCTAAGAGCAAAATCTCCAGACTTGCGTAATATTTTCTAACTAAAATGGTTATGCTTATTTAAAAATCGAGCCGATTAAACAACATTAAATATTTAAATAATGTTGGAATTGTTAAAACCATTTTTTTAATAAATTTTACATGCTCTTAGAAACGAAATAATTTCTTTGTTCTTTTAATATGCGTCCTCTAAAGAGTTTAATGTATATTTTACCAACTTTGATGAGTAATCCAAAAAACAAATCTCTATTAAGTATTAGACCATCCATTTCAAAATCCTCTCTATAGAATGCAAAAACTTTATTCTTGATTTCCATCAATCTTTTGAATCGCAAATTACTCTTTAATTAAATGATTCATTACTGATTTGTTGAAACAATTTTTTATACTTGCAATTGCATGATCTAAAATTACATAATATATTTGTCTATAATACTTCTATTTTCTATTTAACATTTTGAAAATGTAATGAAAAGCTTTGGATACCAGCATTTAAATATTCTAATCTCTCAAATATTGTTAGCATCATTTTAAGAACAAACAAGTTTTCAAAGGGCGTTATTGGTTTATTAAATTTTTTACTCTTTGTTGCAACTTCACTTAGAAATGTATTGATAATTTCTAATATAAGTTTTATAATTATTTCATAATTCCTTTCTATTGATTTTAACGATATTATTCGTATAAACCAGCGTGAAGAGCCTAATGGCCTTGAAGAAGTTTTGGATGGAACTATATATCTCCATGCTTTCGGGAGACCCTCGAACAAAAGATAAAAAAATCTTTCATTGATACTATAAAATCGCCAATTTTTTGCAATAGTATTAAATGAATCCTGTACCGCTAGGTTTAATGATTAACATTTAAATAAATGTTCAGAGTTTGTTTCTAATACTTCATAAAATCCTAAAAATATTTTATTTATATTTAAATCCTCTTCCACATAACGAAAACATTTTGAAAGCTGCTCTTCTATGGATATATACATGATTTTATCTGCGATTATTGAGTAAAATGTAGCGGATTGAATAAGGTTCATAAGTCTTCTTTGAAAGCTCGTGAGTCATTATGGTGAGAATTTCTTTGTATATTTAAGAAAGATTTTACAAAAGATTAAGTTGTAAAATATAATATTTCATATTATGGGTATAAATATTTGGTTTTGTAGACCTAACACCTTTTGGGGTAGTATGAAATTGATAATGTCAATTTTATACCACAAGGGAAAATATATTTTTTGACAACTTTACTTTGGAGAGGATGGAAAGATTTAGTTTGTTTAAAAAATTATAAATTTTTCCTTGAGTAAAGTTGAAGCACTCTTGACGATTTTGTAATACCCATTCAAAATCAAGTATTTTCCCGCATGATATAAAAAAAATTGACACCATTAATTTCGAACTACTCAAAAGTTTTATAACACTAATCTACCAATCAAAATATTCAGTCTAAACCCATTTAATCGTTTTACACCTTAAAAGCGCTTTAGCGCCATCTTTTGTTAAAATCTTTATAGCTCAATAAAAGTATAATAAATATGTTACACATTTTTTATTTGATTGTTAACTAAAAGATGATAATTTACATTATACAAATGATATTTAGATGAAGATGATATAAATTATTCTACAATATTATTATTTTTTCTAAATTTATTTTTAATATAATAATTTAAGTGTACATTTTTTAAATAAATTTGTTCTTATAATAATCTATATCTTTAGACTTTCATATGTCTCTAGGGTAATAGAAAAAAATACCCCTAGAAAAAAAACCCATGGAAAAAAAAAAATTTTTTAAAGAAAAATCGTTATTTTTTAAAAATTTTTTCATTTCAATTTTTCTTAAATTTTTTCCTCAATTTATTATTTTCTTCCCATTTTTGCTTTAAGTCATTGTTAATCTTTATTTTTCTGACCTTTTCTCAATTTTTTTCTTCTCAATTTTCATTTAATTTTTTAGTGTAACCTAGCAATAATTAATATTGATAAATATTTTTATAAACGAATGCCACAATCATTAACAGCTATTAAACTCCAAAAATAAACACAAAATACTTACGAAAAAATATTCGAAGTAATAATGTCTAAATGTCAAGAACGGGATTTATTTCCTGATCCATTATATATATACATGGATTTCGAAAAGTCTGCTATGAACGCGGTTAAAACTGTCATTGGTATGATTATTAATATGTTAAATTATTTAGATTTATTTTTTAATAATGGGATCACATCAAAATCAGAGGATACTTTTACCATTTGTGTCAAAGTACCCATAGAAAAATTCAAAAGCTAGGTCTGGAAAGCCAATACAGAACCGATGAAGCCCTTTGTGGCATGATGGACGGCTTAGCATTTGTTCCTTTATGTGATATGGGCAATGCAATGGTATTCCTTAGATCGGTTACTCCGAGCAATGGTAAGGATATTCTTTCGATAAAAATACATCGATAAAGTATCAAGGGAGGTCATAAAAAGCAATTCTCAATCCCAGACAGGTCGAATTAAGCCTCGATTTCCTCCAGAAACTTGAATCAGAGCACTCTATTCAACGAATAAGTCATAAATAATCAATGCGAAGGTTCGAATCATCGTTTTCTAATCTGGTTGGGAATAAACACCCATCAATCTGGGTATTGATTAAAAAAATGAAATGTGAGGTGGCTGCCGATGAAACACTTGAACGATGGCGTGTAGGTAGCTGGTCACCGAAAACAAAATCACAGTGATTAAACAAGAAAAAATGCTAATGTTCAAATTGGTACTGGGGAAAAAAATATCCCAGTAAAATAACCCATGTATTACTTATTTTGGTAAAAATTTTTGCTATAGTAATAAATACAATATCCATCCTTAATTACTATATTAAGTAGACTAAATTTGACAAAATTTGCAATAAGATCTGTTTATTTTATTGATAAATCATTATTATGTATATATTTATTATTAAATTATATTTTTATAATATTTTTTTCTAAAATACTAATTTGTCTATACCTTATTAAATCCAAATAAAAATATACCGATATTATTAGATCTTAAGTTAAATTCGAAAAAAAATTTCGGGTTTTTTTTTCCGGAGGTTTTTTTTCCGGGATTCGTTTCTAGATAAATATTGCTTGAAATGTTGCTTAATCTAGAAAAAATATTGTTAAGTATAACACATATAGTAAAAAATATTTTATTTTGTCTGATCATTATTAATGTTTTTTACTTCAAAAAATTAATCTAATTTGGAAAAAAAAAATATGTTAACATTTTCATCAAAATTAAAAAGTTTCAAAATTTTTATTTATTGTAAATAAGGGAAAGAGGGAGATTTTTTGTATTTTTTTTACAAGAAAACATCAGGGGCAATAAAATTAATAAAACAAACATAATTTGCATTAAGAATGGCGATATTCTTTGTCTTAAGCAAGAGCCTAGAACAACTTTTAAGAGTCGCTGTTTACTAAAAAGAATTTTTAAATGTTAACTAATATCCATTTTGTAAGATCTGGTGCCACAATTAAATTAATCCTATTCGGTTTGTATTCTGTAAAAAGGTTGGGTTCAGGTTCGGTTTTAATCCCTGATAATAATTCTAATTTCCAATAAAACTTAAATAAAAACATTTTAAAACAATTTTAAAAACCCATTTTTCTGACCAAATTGCCTGGCTCATTTTCAATAGATTCCTCAAATTCTAATTCTTATTTCCATACAACTTAAATTATGTATAAATTAAAATATACCATCATTTGATAATTTATTTTGAGATATTATCTGGCGCATTTGTAGATGTAATTCTAATTTTGCATTATAACTTTAAAATATTTTTAAATTTTAATTGTTAAATTATTTGGCTCAGATTTTTCAACCACTAATAATTGTAGTACATCTTAAAAAATAAAAATAAAGATTGTTCCCCCATTATTAAATGTATTTCGTTACACA